GCCTGAGAGGGGCCACCGCGGGGCCTGAGCCGGGCTGCACTGGGCAGACAGGTGTCCTCCCAGCCTGAGAGGGGCCGCCGCGGGGCCTGAGCCGGGCTGCACTGGGCAGACAGGTGTCCTCCCAGCCTGAGAGGGGCCGCCGCGGGGCCTGAGCCGGGCTGCACTGGGCAGGGGCTCTGAGCGGGGGCTCCGCAGAGCAGGGACATTTTCCACTGGCCTGGCTGGTGGAGGCCGACGGTGGGTCCTGCGCTCCTGCCAGGGGAGCACATCAGCAGGGCAGACTGGGCTTGTCCGGCGCTGGCCTTGCCCCTGTCCAGGCTGGCTTTGCACCAGGGCTGCGAGGTGACTTCAGTGCACCCGGCACTGGGGAATTCTCAAGACACTCTGTCAAGGGCTTAAAAAGCGGCTTTCGTGCTTTTAAATGCTTGGTGACACGTAAGAGTGGAAAGGGAATATCCAAACCTGTAACTTGATCAAAGGGTCACGATTTCAAAAAGTGCAGGATCCACAGCTGCCTTCATCCGTTTCATCCATTTCCCCAAAGGAGATGAATGAAGTCCAGCCTCAGGGGTAATCGGATGACCCACAGCGCAGCTGCGTGGTGCGGGGGTCCCAGCACCCTGCCCCGAAGCAGGAGTGTTTGGTGGGTGGGGGGACAGAAGCCAGGCCGGGTGGGACTCTGGGTTGCACTGTCGGGACGCCTGGGTCCAGTAGATGGGAAAACTGCAGCTGGTGGGAGGACTGGAGGCTGGGATGGCCCGTGAATGGGCCATTTGGATGTCCGTCCCTGTGCTGGAGGTGGGTGGGCGCGACACACTGGCCTCTTTCTCCTGGACAGAGTGGCTCTGTTGTCTGTCCACACAGACGCTCAGTGTCTGTCCCACCTCCTGGGGGACCTGGACCCTGGCTCAGGAACTGGCCGTTGGCAGTGGGTGGCCTCCTGGACTGCACTCACATCCCCCCCACATTCTCCCCCTCACTCCCAACCCCCGCCACCCCACATGCCCAGCCACTGTCTGCAGGTTCTGGTCTGAGTTAGCTCACCCAGCCAGTTCTCTCTATCCCAGCCCCGACCACCCCCCCTTCTCCCGGTGCCCTAGAGATCCCATGGCAACTACAAAGGTGCTATTGTATTTCTTCTTTTCAGACCATTTTCTCTTGCAACTTGAGTTAAAATCTTCTCGTTTTCAGGGGAGGGGTGGGGAGGTGCGGATGGCTGACTGGGCAATGCCACCCTGTTCAGTCACTTCGATGGCTGTCAGGAAAGGTTCCCAGCTCCTCGCTCACACTCATGTATCTCCCTGGGGGTGGCCCAGGGTGACTGGGTTTAACCTGTAATTGTCACAACACCTGACTCGGGACAGTTTTAAAGCATGGAAGACTTCAGAGGGTGAGTGGTAATCAGAACTGGATTCAAACTGCTTCCTACCTCGGGCAAGTCAGTGAGCCTTTAACCTGGCAGCCGCAGGTCCCCCATGAAGATAACACTGCCCCCTCGTGGGTTTGTGAGTTCTGTGCTGCAGTGAGCATAAAGTGCCTCGTACAATAGTCATCGGCACGTAGTAAGTGTTCAATTAATGGGAGCTGGGATTACATGGTCCCTGGACAACAGAGAGGGCTGAAGTTCAACGGGGCCTCTAGGACAGTTAGTAGGATCCTGCAGGGGGGCATCAGGGGGAGCATGAGTTGGGGGGTAGCTCCCAGGAAAAGGGTTTCTGGATTGGGGGATGTGTGCTATAAACGGACTGCCTTTATATCCACCATGCGGACCATCCCTGTAATGGTGAGCTAGAGAAAGATGTAATCGGATGATAGATGTAAACGTGTGCCAAGTTCAAGGGTTCCTTCTTAAAAAAAATTATTTATTTTCCAGTTGAGATACAACATGGTAGTAGTTTCAGGCGTACAACAGGGCGCTTAGACACTTACATGCCTTACAGGGTGGTCACCCCATATGTCTGGTACTTAAGGGCTCTTGACCTTAAGATGTGGGGGAGCCCGAAACTTGGTTGAAGAGGAGTCCCACCTTGTGGGCACGGATCTCTGACGGAAATGCGGCATTTCCTCGATGATGACTGTAGGCGCGAGCCACATGAGTGTTAGCAGGACCTGGCTGGCCAGAGAGTAGCAAGCTCTGGAACAGCGCAGAGAGAACGTGCTTAACTTTTTTCCTGCAGCAGTTTCCACTCCCTCCCTCCCCAGGCCCGAGACCAAAATGTAAGGCTGTTCATAAAAGGCAACCAGAGAAAGTTTCCAACAAATGACAGGGTCTCCAGAATGCCTTCTCTCTGCGGTGTTCCCACACTGCTGCTCTGTGCGCCGGAACAAGATGGTGATTCAGTCATGGGTACGCAGAGGGCTCTTGGGGCCAGCAGGGCTGCCCCAACGTATAATCAGCGTGGAGACTGGAGCCCCAGAACCAGTAAATGCGGGGGGTAGGGGGAGAAACAAAGAACCCACAGTTAACTCCCTCCCGTCTAGGGAGCAGAGGATTCCCAGGCCCATCTCTAGGGTCCCAGGAGCCCTACGACGGGATGGAGGTAACCCCGTGGGTGTTGTCAGAAAATTACCACCATCGTAGTAGTAACAGCAACACTAATGGAACCCAACTCTGTGCCAGACTCTCTCTGTTTTGAATGTTTTCCCTACAACAGCTCATAAGGCTCCCTTAGTGGGGTGATTTGTTTTTATGCGTGACTTTTCCCACCAGACTGTCACCTTCATAAGGGGAGTGACTTTTGTCTCTTTTGTGTTTGACTTACCTCTTCTGCCTGGAGCAGTGCTTGGCTCAGGAATAGCTGCTCCATGCACTAATGAATGGGCCCTCCTGGGAGGGAGGTACTGTTCTTATCACCATTGTACAGATGAGGAAACCGAGGCCCAAGGTCACAGAGCAAGGACGCTGTGGAGCTGGAATCAGCATTCAGACAGCCTGGCTGGGAGCTCAGCGCTTATGGGCTGGTGGCAGTAGGAAAGCCTGCTGAGCTGCCGCCTCCTCTGGTCCCGCCTCCGCTGGCCCGGCCTCCGCCTCCGCTGGCCCCGCCTCCGCTGGCCCCGCCTCCGCTGGCCCCGCCTCCGCTGGCCCCGCCTCCGCCGGCCCCGCCTCCGCCGGCCCCGCCTCCGCCTCCGCTGGCCCCGCCTCCGCCTCCGCTGGCCCCGCCTCCGCTGGCCCCGCCTCCGCCTCCGCTGGCAGCAGCTCAGGGTCTGGAGAAAGGTTGGGGTGAGCAGATTTGTGCCGGGGCTCATCTTTCCGTTGGGGTCTGGGTGGGGCCCTCTGGGACTGTTTGGATGTGGGGTGCCCAGTCCCTTGCTGAGTCTGTATCTGTGGGCTGTGGGCCATCCACACTGGGCCTGAGGACTTGTGGCCTCTCCGGAGAATGTACACAAACCCAAGAGGCTGTTTGTCTTTCTGGTGACAAGTAGGTGACTCTGTCCCTGGAGCAGAGACCTGGCCGCTGCACGCGCCCAGGACCATGCGCAGAAGTGCACGCTCCACACTCCCTTCGTGTGCCGAGCAGTGAGTCGGCGCTGAGGCTGGACGTGGGCTGGACACTGTCCACTCCGTGGTGGGGCTGGCGGCCCTGTGATGGGCAACCCCACCAGCCACGGCGCTTTGCTGGGTGTCGGTGATGCAGAAGTTTTTCTTCCTGCCCACTCTCCACCCTCAGAGGCCCACACCTTGGGTGACCCCCCTGCCACTCCCTTTAGCAGAGTCACAGGAAGATAGTTTTATGTGATGGTGTCTGGGGATGGGCGAAGGGCTCTGGGATCAAATTGCCGGGTCGGAGGGTGGGCAGGCCCTCAGCAGATCCTGTTGGTTCCCTGCTGGCCCCTGCTCCCTGCTCAGCAGGGCTCCCTCCTGGCCCAACTATTTGTTTTTTTTGAAGTGGCAGGTATTGCATGTGCAGGCTGCTATTTGCTTGAGAGAGTGGGGGAGAGCGGGAGAGAGAGATCTGGGGTTCGCAGAGATGGGGAGAGTCTTCAGATGGGACACAGCACGTTCTTTTCCAAAAATGCACGTCCCGGGGTTCTCAGCCAGGGGCAGCTCTGAGCCTCACGATGCAGATTCATCTCCCAGCTGTCCCCCTCCTCCCTGCTACCTCCTTCTAAATGACATTTATTGAGCATCTCCTGAGTCTGGAATAACTGTCAGCACTAGACGTATTATCTCATTTAGTTCGCATAACTGCCCTGTACGGTGGGATCTTAGGCTGGCTTCCCCTGAAGCCGACCTTCAGACAAGGATCCCTGTGCAGGGGGTTTACTTGGAAAATGTCACCAAAGGGTGGGATGGGGTGAAGGTGTTGGGAGTGAGGCCGGTTTGGAAGGCAGTATGCCTGTTGCTGCATTTTTTTAAAAAAATATTGATTTCAGAGAGGAAGGGAGAAGGGACAGAGAGAGAGAAACATCAATGATGAGAGAGAATCATTGATCGGCTGCCTCCTGCATGCCCCACACTGGGGATCGAGCCTGCAACCTAGGCATGTGCCCTTGGCCGGAATTGAACCTGGGACCCTTTACTCTGCAGGCCGACGCTCTATCCACTGAGCCAAACCGGCCAGGGCTGTTGCTGCATTTTGAGATCAGCACACCTCCCTGCCAATGCACTCTGTGTTCTGGACCAACTTGGGGCACATGGGTGCCTCCCCACAGGCCAGCCCCCTCCCCTCCCGCAGGCCCCAGGCTGTCAGAAGGCAGACATTTCCTCGGTTCCTCGGTCTAAGGCTCCCTGTACCACGTCTGGGGAGCTGAGGGCCTCAGGAATGCCAACAGGAAAAGCACGATGGTCCTTTAAATCTGTTCCGTCTTGCACTTGCGGGTTTAGAGTGCTGCGCCCCGGAGACCCACTGTCAGGTCACCCAGCGTGTGGCTGAAGCTCAGGACACTTTGGCTTTCGTTGTGTGTGGGGGCAGGATGCGGCCTGGAAGACACCGGAGACTAAGTGCTCCTCCTTGCCAGGCTTGCCTTTTAAAGCCTTGCCCTGGGCCCATTTCCTGAGCTCAGATGAACGTTTTCTTGAAGACGGGGAAGGGAAAGCTCATTCTTCTGGAGCCCGTGGCACCGCCGGGCCCTGACGAGGACCCAGGAGACGCCTGTCACAGGAGGGGGAGGGTCAGGTGCTGGACCAGCTTCGCTTCATGACACAGAGGAGCCGAGCGCCGCCCTCCCAGCTCCTTTCCTCGGTGGAACGTGGTGCTGTGCGGTCCGGGGTCAGGGACCGTTCTTCTAACACTGATGCAACTTCATCCGAACAGCGCGTGGCCACATCCAGCTGGACCAGGGCCGGAGGCCAGACAGAGGAGACGGAGCCAGAGCTGTGAAATATTGGTCTGTCTCCGTGCTCGCGCAGCCCTTGCCAAGTGTGTGGACGGGGAGACAGTCCTTGCTTATTTACTCAAGACACAGAGCGGAGACGGGAAACGCGATGGGCTGCCTTCACCGCTTTTGAAAGAGGAGAGCTGAGATTCGAGGTGTGTGAGTGGGAGGGGAGAGGGGGGCTGCAGCTGCTGACTTCCAGGAATGCCTCATTTTGCCAGGAGCCTCAGTGAGAAATTAGAGGAGACAGTAAGGGGGCAGGTCATACAGCCCCAGCGTCGGGGGGCTCTGGGTCACCAATTCTTTTTGCATTTATGTGGCCAGTAGTCTCCTATTGCTGATCTAACAAATGGCTACGAACTTGGTGGCTCAAAACAACAGGAATGTGCTCTCTTATAGTTCTGGGAGCCAGAAGTCCGAAATGAGTCTTCCAGAGCTAGATTCGTGGGTACTTCTGCCCAGTCCCTCCCTTAGCCCCTCCAGCCCCGGCTTCTCGCTGGAAGGAGCCCTGTGTCCTCGTCCCCAAGTGGGAAAGCACCTTGGAACAGATCATGTTCCAAGTAAAAGGCAGCAACATGCGCTGAGAGGGTTAACATGTCCATTTTTATTGCTGTTTTTGAAAAAGTCATTTTTCCTGTGGCCAAGCCTTTGCCGAAATGATTTCTCGAATTGCTTTTCTTATTCTCTGGAGGGCGTGGAGCTTTCGCTTTGGATCCGATTTCTGCTATCTCTAATGTAACATTCTTCTCTTTATTGTTGTCACAGCTGGCGTTCCCTGGGGCTCTTCTCCCTGTTTCTTTTCTTCTGACCGAGAGCCCTCGCTTTCTAAGATGGCATGTGGTCTTCGTTAACATCCCCAACTCCGGCCGTTGCCATCTGTGCAACAAGGAAGTTTCCATCCTGTCACAAGGTGACCGCGTCCCTCAAGGGATGCTAGAACCCGGCCAGACAGCCAGGGTCGCATTGCTTGGGGAGAAGATGGGGAGCTGAACCTAGCGGACCTGCCGATTACCCCTGCCCTGGCCTTCAGCCCCGCCTCTGCCAGAAGCCCCCAAGGCCAAATATCTGTGGTGTCTCTGCCTGTTCATAATGCTTTTCCTCAGCTGTGCCAAGGATAGCATTGGCAGGGGCAGCTCAGGAAGGGTGAGGAGGAGATGAGAAGAGATTTTCACTTTTAAGAAGGATGTTTTCTGTCCTTAAGAACCCCCTTCGCTGCCCAGCATGCTATCCCGTCCCTCGTGGCCGATTAGTGGAGGCCCAGGTTTTGTCATCTTTCTTGACATCTGGGAGTTGAGAAAAGCCGCTGTGCCCCTGTCCCTGCCGCCGGTTCCTCTGCAGCAGCCGGTGGTGCCAGGGTTTAGAGCAGGGCGTTCTGGGTCGTGGCACAGGGAAGGACGACCCGTGCCCCAAAGGGAGGCACGGTCCTGGCTGGGATCTCCCCTGTGACCCTCCAGAAGTGAGACAGTCTCCTGCTGGCAGGTCCAGAGCAAACGGTACTCAAGTCCCTTCCTTCACGTGTCCTCGTCTCTCAAACGGTCCCTGTGCATAGGCCACCGGCGCGTCTTGGAATTTTTCTTCAAGTCCTTCTCAGAAGACCTCTCTTGCGTCCTCTCCACGTGCCATCTGCCCATCTTATGGGGCCCTGGTTCATGGGTTTATCCGTGACCAGGTTGCCCCATCCTTGTCCCCGCCACCCGAACCCCATCTGTAACAATGGACTCACACCCTTGTTAGCCAGGGGAGGACCCTGCTCTCTATTACTGCTTTGCCTATTGTTATGTATTTTTTCAGGTGCCATTGTAATTCAGTACTTGTCTACACTACCTAGTGTTCATGGCTCTAAATCCAGTTACCATCCCTCCCCAACCATTAAGCCGCCCTATTGTTTGACCAGGGCACGCACTGAGGCGGGCGGGTCCCGCTGGGTCCCACCCCCAAACTGTCTAGTCTAGTGGGTGTCCTCTCCTTTCTCCTTCCCCTCATGTCCTCTTTATCATTCAGCTGAATAGTCTCTTCAGAGGATCCTCCTCCCCACCCCCACCCCCCACCCCCAGTTTGATCAAAGCCGCCTTTCTTTGCCCAAAGCTTTCCTTGGGTGGCCCTGCGGGGACAGCTGCTTAGGGCCACCTGAACCTCTCTCTCGGCACAACTGCGCACCTGCCAACTCCCCCAGGTTGTCTGAGCCAAGGACGGCCTAGGGAGGGGTCCGAACATTCTGTCCCCTTGGGACATTTTAAAAAGATGAATTCTTTGCCCCCAGTGGTATCCAAAACTTGGAGAATACAGCTGGCGAATCCCACTTGAAAACATATTTTCCTTCTGAGGAGGAAGAAGACAACGCCCACAGTCTGTCGGTGGCCGTTTCTCCGTTTAGTTTTAATGTACGGCGTTGGCATTCCTGCCAGCTGGGTGAGCCGGGCAAATCTCAGCGCTCTGGGCTGGCGTTCTCTCGTCTGTGAGAGGAATGCCGTGGGCCCACTTCCGTATGTCCTTGCGGGGGCAAAAGGAGACGCTCACCGGCACGCCGTGAGAAGTTAACGTCAATGAGAAGGAGTGGGGCCCGTCACTTCACACTTCGGGGTCTCCTCTGCAGAAACCCTCACCTTTCCCCCCGGAGCTGTGTGGACAGGACCTTCAGTGCCGAGTTCTTGGCTGTAATAAAAATGGGAAACAAGCCCTAACTGGTATGGCTCAGTGGATAGAGCATCAGCCTGCGGACTGAAGGGTCCCAGGTTCGATTCCGGTCAAGGGCATGTACCTGGGTTGCAGGCACATCCCCAGTAGGAGGTATGCAGGAGGCAGCTGATCGAGGTTTCTCTCTCATTGATGTTTCTAACTCTCTATCCCTCTCCCTTCCTCTCTGTAAAAAATCAATAAAATATATTTAAAAAAACCTTTTTTTTAAAAAAAGGGAAACCATCTAAAGACCCTTCCTGTAGGGCAGCGGTTCTCAACCTGTGGGTCACGACCCCTTTGGGGGTTGAACGACCCTTTCACAGGGGTCGCCTAAGACCATCGGAAAACACATACATAATTACATATTGTTTTTGTGATGAATCACTATGCTTTAATTATGTTCAATTTGTAACAATGAAAATACATCCTGCATATCAGATATTTACATGACGATTCATAACGTAGCAACATTACAGTTATGAAGTAGCAACGAAAATAATTTTATGGTTGGGGGTCACCACAACCTGAGGAGCTGTATTAAAGGGTCGCGGCATTAGGAAGGTTGAGAACCGCTGCTGTAGAGGAATGGGTAAAGGACTGTGGCACAGTCCCCCCTGGGAACCATTGTGTAGCAGTTAAGTAACTTTACATTGAAAAAGGTAGAGATGGAAACCGCCTCAGGACATGTTGCCATGTCAACCAAAGCAAGTTGTGAAGTAACTGCCTCCTTCATTTATTTATTTTTAATTGATTTCAGAGAGGATGGGAGAGGGAGAGAGACAGAAACACCAATGATAAGGGAGAATCATTGATCGGCTGCCTCCTGCACACTCCCTACTAGGGATCGAACCTGCAACCAGGGCAAGTCCCCTGACCGGGAATCCTGGCTCCTAGGTTGACACTCAACCGCTGAGCCACACCGGCTGGGCTAGTCACCCCCTTTATGCTAAAAGTAATTACCACCTGTAGTAGACTGAGAAATTGGTACAGCCACTTTGGGAGACAGTATGGAGGTTTCTCAACGTATTAAAAATAGAACTGCCTTCTGTCTTAAGTTGAATAGCTAATAAGATAAATAAATTCTGACTTCAACACAGTGGCTCAAACTGCTCTTGGCAGCCCTGCTCCCATGGGTCCTGCAGGCTCCCCAGCTCCTTCCTTCTGGTGACTCCACGGTGCCCAAGCATTAGCGTCACCTGGAGAGCTGGTAAAAACGCAGATTTCTGGGCCCCAGCTTTGATCGAGTAGTTCTGGGTTGCGGCCTGCGAATTTGCCTTTCTGACAAGTTCTCAGGTGATGCTGATGCTGATGGTCCCGGGACCACGTGTTGAAAATCACTGCCCCGGGATGTGTCCTTGCCAGCAGGTGCAGAGCTGGTGGCTGGCAGCCAACGTCCTTTTGAGCATGAGGGGCAGGCAAGGACTCCTGCCATGGGCAAGGACTTAGTCACGTGGCCACCCCTGGCTGCAGGGAGGCTGGGCGGGGTCATCCGTAGCTGAGCAGATCTGTGCCCCTGGGAGAGGGAAGAGTGTGTTGGTGGGAACCAGAGGCCTGCAGAGTGGCCCAGGGACTCCCCTGGAGATCAAGAGAAGGCCGGCACTCAGCGGTGGGGACAGATGTGGAAGAGACCCTTATGTGCCTGGTGACCAGTGTCATATGGAGGTTTATTCCAGGGGGAAGCCCATGTCTGCCTGCAGGCATTGCCAAGGCTGCCCTGGAAGCCGGCAAGCCAAGCTTTGAAGCAGGAGAGCTGGCCGAGGTGCCCACCTCTCTGGAAGGCGGTTGGGTGCCACTCGCCTGGGCTCCGTGCCTTTCCCTCTCAGGGATCCAGGATGGGCCTCCCTTCCGCAGCCCCATTGCATTGTGGGTTGGGCTGATGTTATCCCAGGTCTCACACTTGCTTTTTCTACCCCGCCCCCCAGGCACCTTGGGTCCGGAGGAAGCTGCGTGGCAAGAGGCGGCTGGTCATGGCCTCCTGCCTCCTGATGACGCTGTCTGTGCTGGCTGTCACCCGCTTCCCCGCTCAGCCTCAGGCCGCCATGGAGCCCCAGGGCGTCACCGGCACCCCTGGCCCCCACGCCCCGCAGGCGCTGAGCTCTCGCTGGAGGCAGTGGACAAGGAACCTGCGATTCTGGAGAGGCTGGGCCCTGCCCACGAGCCCCGACCCGGTGTGTGCTGAGGGGCAAGGCCACCGAGGGCGAGTGGACAGCAGCAGGTCCCCAGGAGGGGACAGCGGGCATGTCCGGAGGGTCAAGAGGGACATTGCGTTGGCATCTCTCGGAGATTTGAGACTCAGGACCCCGCGTCTTGTGCCCCTGAGGGAGGATGAGGTCAGGAGTCCAGGAGCCAAAGACCTGCGACCCCCTTGGGAGGATGGTCCCATCTGGGAGGCACAGAGTGACACAGGCGCCCTGGTCAGCCCCGTCACAGGGCACCAGAGAGCAGCTGCTGGACCGACCCTGTGGCCCCATCCAGGGAGAGGCAGGGATCTGCCAGAAGCTGGGAGCAGAGCCTTGACTGGTGGGCAGCAAGCAGGGGATCCCAGCCCGGCCACGGGGACTCGTCGGTGGCCTGACTCCATTGGGGAGCTGCAGGGATCCATGTGGTGTGCCCCCGAGACCCCTGGGCTGTTGACCGGCTCGGGGACCGACGGCCTGGTGCCCCCATGGTTCACGGAACATGATGTGCAGACCCTCCGGCTGTTGGCCCAGGGGCAGGTGGTGGGCAAAGCCAGGGTCCCCGGCCACGGGCAGGTGCTGCAGGTCGGCTTCTCCGCTGAGGGTGCCCTTCCGGACGCGTCTCCTGGGCTCAGCGGACTCTGCTCCCAGGGACTCTGTGGCCTGATCAAGAGGCCCGGGGACCTGTCCGAGGTCCTGTCCTTCCACGTGGACCGCGTGCTGGGGCTGCGCCGGAGCCTGCCGGCTGTGGCCCGACGCTTCCACAGCCCCCTGCTGCCCTACCGCTACACAGACGGTGGCGCCAGGCCCGTCATCTGGTGGGCACCTGACGTACAGCACCTGGGTGACCCTGACAATGACCAGAACTCTCTGGCCCTGGGCTGGCTGCAGTACCAGGCCCTGCTGGCCCATGGCTGCAGCGAGCCAGGCCAGGCGCCCTGTCTGGGCATCCGCCATGCTGAGTGGGCACGCCTGGCTCTCTTCGACTTCCTGCTCCAGGTATGTGGGGCCGGGCTGAGTCCCGGAGGGCAGCAGATGTGGGGATGGATGGTTACTCTCCCCCCAGTCTTGTCTTTTGAGCACCAGGCCCCCGTTCTCGTTATTTTCCAGCCTCTGGGCTTATTCATCCAGTTCCGAGTGCTGGAGTAGCGAGTGCCAGCTCAGGAGAGCTGATGGTTCATATTTTTAGTTTTGTGAGCTGGTTGTGAAACATAGGCATTTAAAATTTTTAATTATAGACAAGAAAACAAAACAAAAAAGGGAAAAAAATTAAATTATATAAAGTAACAATCAGCAACCCATTACTTCCTAATTCTTTCACCACATTTTGCCGGAGTCCAACCCCAGCAGGTCCAGGGGTCCCCAAAGGTGTGGATGGAGTCGGCAAAGAAGGAATGACACAGAGACGGAGTTCAGTTGATCAGCAGCCTAGCCAGGATCTCTAGCCAGGATCTCCAGCCAAGTTCTGGTCTGGATCTCCAGAGAGGTTCTGCTTCAGATCTCCAGCCAGGTTCTGTGTCCATGTTCTCTTGCTAGGTTCTCCAGGTTCTCCAGCCAGGTTCTGTAGCCATGTTCCCTCGCTAGGTTCTCCAGCCAGGTTCTGTCCAGGTTCTCCAGCCAGGTTCTGTAGCCATGTTCCCTCGCTAGGTTCTCCAGCCAGGTTCTGTCCAGGTTCTCCAGCCAGGTTCAGTCACCAGGTTCTAGTCAGGCTCTCTTGCCAATTTCTGTAGTCAGGTTCAGTCCAGGATCTTTGGCCATGTTCTCTCCAGCGAAGTTCTTCTGTCTGTAGGTTCTGTATAGGTTCTGTCTTCTTAGTTCTGTGTTCTAAGTTCTGTGTTCTAAGTTCTGTCTCTTGCTGTCTTGTTGCATCTGTATTTATACCAGTTGATTCAATCCTATCAATCTCTATTACAAAGGTTAGGGCGTTTCTTATCTCCATTCCAGGGAGTAAAGATTATGTAGCTTAAGTATGATTGTTCGTAGTTAAAGTGATTAATTACCCGCCTGGCACTTAGTTAAGAGGTTTTATTCCCTCCCTAACTTCAGGGGAAAATCCCTACCTGGGGAAACAACCTTTTTCAGAGAGGAGACCTTGGTTAAAACACATAGTGCCAAGAAGGTGAGAAAACATTTTAAGAACAGTATGCCATATATGCCAGGTCCTTTGAAACAGCAAGGATGGACCGGCTCCCAGCAACATTTTCCCTGTTATCTGTGCTCTTGAGGCTGTTTGCGTCTGTCTGGGAAATACTGGGTAGCGGTGGCTCGTCTCCTGTCAGCTCCCCTGTCCGTCGTGTTGGCAGCTCGGATTGGTCAGGGTGGGGCTGTTGTCACCATGAGAGTCAGCACGTGCTGCATATGGGCCCCCTCCTCCCGGGGAGTTAAACATTTACCAGCACACGACTGTTTATAGCGTTATACCCTTGACTCGGCAAGGATCAACATGGTTGTGTAATTTAAAAAATGAGAGAGAGAGTGAGAGAGAAAGGGAGGGGAGAGAGAGAGGAGAGAGAAGAGAGAGAAATGGATGATACAGGTCAAGCCTGGGCACTGAAGAGAGAAGGAAGCCACAGGGCAGCTGAGGTTCCTGTTGTGCCAGCAAGTAACCTGGAGTTTCTGGGGAACAGGCTGGAGTTTCTGGGGACCCCCAGTCAGAGCACAGGGGTAACGGAGGGATTGCAGGCATCAGCTATTTCCTGTCTGGTCTGGGGTCGCTCTGTGGTGCATATTCCGTGTGTTTCTCAGGGTTGCCTACCGGGATTGCGCCCCGGGTACCCGCAGTGGTCGTTGCTGTGTCTCGTCCCCTGCTTGGGTTTTGGGATTGGCTCACAGATAAACTGCTTTCACTTGAATCCTCGTCTCGGTCTATCCCAGATGACAACACTGACCTGTGACGTTTCCGCACAGGAGATCCTTTGTGAAATGTACTTAAGACGGTGCCTGGTGGAGGCACACGCTCAAGAATGAGCAGGCACTGCCCCTGACACTGGTCAGGAATTAACTCATCTACGCTTTATGACAAGCTTATGAGTGAGATTCTACTCTGTTAAAGTGCAGAAATCGAGGCCCGGAGCAGTGAAGTTACTGGCCCGAGGTCACGGCCGGAGGAGCAGAGACGCAGCCTGGACGGTCTGACTCCAGAGCTCACCTCTCAATCAGCATCACTAGTCACCTGGCCGTGACTGAGGGCAGGAAGAGGGGACCTTTGCAGGGGTGCCCTGGAGCTCGGGCACCTCCGCGCAAAGCCCCGGTCCAGCTGGTGCGCACACGGCAGCTTTCTGCTCCACACAGAGGCCCTCTGTCTGTGCCCTGGGTTGCGGTGTGGGACCTCCCTCAGCTGCCAAGGCCTGCTGTGGGGATGCAAGTCCCAGCCGCCAAAGCACACACAGGTCGGGTGTGTGGTCAGAAGCGACTCGGCTGGCCTCAGGCCACCTTTTCCCTGGTCTGCTGAAGGCTGGTCCAGTCCACTCCTCCTCCCTGGCTGATGCCACCTTCCTAGAAACCACTGGCACGTGGAGAGAGGCGGGGCTGTGGGTTTCCCAGCACAGGAACTGGAGGCACCTTCTGACCGGGGGTTGGGAACGGACTCCACATGCAGCCCATGTTGCGGTGTGCTTGCTCCTTTGTTTTGTTTGATCCAGTATAAACCCTTACTTTTCTCTGTGTGTGTGTATCGCAGCATACCGTTTACCTGGACACAATACACAAGAACTGCACACATACACATTCCTTATCCCCCCACAAGTCCTATGCTTTTCACATCCCACCACATAGCGTTCTGAATTAGTGACTGTAGAGATAATGCTGTGTAACAAAACTCGCCCACACTCAGCAGCTTAACACACCAGCTCTCCGTGCCTTGCTCCAGGGTCTGTGGGTCAGTGGGGCTCAGTTGAACTTGGCTCCAACTGTGGGTGGGCTCAGGACTGCTCTTGACTTCTCATTCTGGAGCCCAGGCTGCAGGAGCAGTACCACCTGGGCGACCCTCTCACGGGGAAGGGAACAAGCCCAAGAGCTCAACCAAACTGCAGGAGCACATTTAAGGCCTCTGCTCAGACTCCTTTGGCCAAAGCGAGTGAATGGCCAAGCCCACTGTCAGGGAAGGGAAGCACGCTCTGCCCAGAGCTGAAGGCGGAGAGGAGAAAATATTTGTTGGACAATCACCAAATCAGTCACAACATCTCAAACAAATGCACACTTATCCATGCACCTTATAAGCTCACGTGTGCTATCGCCACACCCCCACACATACAATCCATAGGGTGCCAGATGCTGCTGTGCAGAAATTTTTAAAATTTGTCTATTATTGAACTGTTCTTTTATGACTTCTAGGTTCATATATTATATTTCAAACTAGAGGCCCGATGCACGAAATTCATGCAAGGGCCTTGGCCCCGGCCCCCGCCGGCCATCGCTGCAGCCGGGGGCCTCTGCTGCCTCTGCTTCAGCCCCCGCCTACTGTGGCTTTGTCCAGAAGGAAGGACATCTGGTCTAATTAGCATATTAACGCTTTTATTATTATAGACTAGAGGCCTGGTGCACAAAATTCGTGCAATGGGAGTGTGTCCCTACCCAGCCTGCACCCTCTCTAATCCAGGACCCCTCAGGGGATGTCTGACTGCCATCCCTGCGGGATTGGGCCTAAACTGGCAGTCGGACATCCCTCTCACAATCTGGGACTGCTGGCTCCTAACCGCTCATCTGCCTGCCAGCCTGATCCCCCTAACTGCTCTCCCCTGCCAGCCTGATTGCCCTAACTGCTCTCCTCTGCCAGCCTGATCACCCCTAACTGCCTCTGCCTTGGCCCACACCACCATGGCTTTGTCCGGAAGGACGTCTGGCCTAATTAGCATATTACCCTTTTATTAGTATAGATAGAGGCCTGGGGCACGGATAGGGGCCGGCTGGTCTGCCCTGAAGGGGGTCCTGGATCAGGGTTGGGGTCCCCTTGGGGGGCAGGGCTGGCCTGGGTGAGGTGCCACTGGCGGTTTGCAGGCTGGCCATGCCCCCATTGGAGTGAGGGTTCCCGCTGGGGGCAGGGTGGGCCTGGGCAAGGGGCTGATGACTGCTGGATGGCCACACCCCATTAGGGTGAGGGTCCCCGCTGGGGGACATGGCTGGCCTGGGTGAGGGGCTGAGGGCCATTTGGGGGCGGTTTGCAGGCTGGCCAAGCCCCCAGCTTTGTCTGGAAGGACGTCCAGAAGGTCTCCTCGTCTAATTAGCATATTACTCTTTTATTAGTATAGATGGCCATCCTCATTTCCAGGCTGTTTTGAAAGTTCTCCCATGTGTTTTCATATATCTTTGATCCATCTGGAAGCTATTTGGAGCAAGAGATAAGGTACAAAACAGTGATTTTTTTTCCCCCTCAAATGGCAACCCACATGTCCCAGCACCATTTGCTGAATAATCCATCTTTCCCCCAGTCTGCAATGTTGCCAGTTTCCATATGTATGTAGGTCTATTTCTAGACTCTTCTGTTCCAGTAAAGGGTCTATTTATATGCCAGAATCACACTGTTTTAATTACTGTGCTTCGTAATTTATGTTGCTAACTAGCAGGGTGTGGTCTTTCTCATTGCCCTTTCTTAGAATTTCCCCCATATTCTTGCATGCTATTCTCATGAAACTTATGAGTCAGCTTGTTACTTCCTTCTCCTCCCCAAGTCCTTTTGGGATTTTATTGGAATCAAATTAAGTTTGTGTGAACTAAGACAGAAATAATTTACACCCTAAAATGTAGAGCCTTCCGGCCAAGAGTAGGGTATGTCTCTCCCTTTCGTCATGCTCCCGCAGGCATCAGTTTCCTTCAGCTGGGTCCTTGCTTTCATGTTCAGTTATTCCTGGGTATTTCGTCCTCTGTGGCCATTGAAAATGGGACCTTTCTCCTCCTTTATAGGATCTCGCCCGTAGCTCTTGGTCTGTGTGGAGGCTGTTATTTCTGTGTATTAGTTTGGTTACTGGCCACCTGCTAACTTCATTTGCTTTGTCCTGGGCTTTCTAAGTTCACCATCATTTCATCTGTAATGAATATCTTCTAATCACCTTTCTTTCTCCTACCTCATGCCGTTGCTGGTGCCTCCAGAGCGATGGCAAATATTAATGGCATGATGACTGTGGCCTGTTTCTGCAGACTTGGGACAGCTCTACAGTTTTTGCTGTGGCAGATTCATTTTATAATGGATGCGAGTTGGGGATGGCGGGGGTAGGGGGGGGCAGTGGGGCACCAGGGACAGCCAGCGGTTCTTCTGGAATCCACCAGACCCAGGTCAGCCCCTGGCTGAGGTACCAGTCCCGGCCTTCGAGCCTGGTGGGTCAGTTAGAGGACGTGGCCACCCCTCGTGCCCTGTGCTGGGCTCCCTCCAGACCGTGCCTCCTCTACAGCTGGGCCTGCTATCCCTCCTGGAAGACTGCAGTGTGTTGTCCTGTCCAGATGTCCTGTTTGGAGACCACAGAGCCAGGCCTCCCCTGAAGCCTTCTGGTGATGGCACCCTGGGCAGGGAGGTGGCGTGATGGGCAGGCTTTCTGTGATCACAGTCCTCATGTGAAGCCCCCTCTAGATCTTTCCTGCTGCCAGCCAGCAATGTACTTCATCCATTCATTCTTTCACCCCCAGACTTCGGCTTAAGTCCCTGGCTGGGCTGCACGAGTGCTGGGTGCTGGGGTCAGCTTGAACCACACCTACACTTTTGCCATCAACTGATGCCAGAAAACAGGTGCCTGCCACATTACCCAACCCCCGTGACTCAGTTTCCCCATCCTTGAAATGGGGATAATAACAGATCGACCTCCTGGCTGCTGGGAGGGGTTAATGGTGTGCAAAGCACTCAGAGTGGGACGTGGCACAGAGTAAGGGCTTTACAACGGCTTAAGTTCAATTAAACAAAAACTTCAGTTCACGTCATGATTGTACCACATTGGTAGGTTGGTCAGAAAATCAGAATAGCGAAGGTTTTTCTTTTTGTTTTTTTGGTAGCACCTCATTTTTTAAAAAGGGGGGGAAAGAATCAAATCCTGAAGGGCTGTGGACATGAAATTTGAACTTGGTTTTGTTGGCTGCTAGTCTGTTGTCGTTTAACGGAATTTCTCTTAAGTGGAAAAAAATAACCAGATGGTGTGGCTCAGTAATCAAACTGGTGACTGGGCCCGGCCAGACCCTTCCTGTTAGACACTAAATGGGCGAAGATTTGGGGAGGCCAGCGATACGCGTGTCACACAGGCCAGGATTCCTTGTAGCTTTCTCGGGAAGTAAACACTGCCGCAAGTTGAAATCTGCACAGAATGGCCTGGAGCCATGTGTGGCCTCCCAAGGGGACAGTTCAGCATCAGACCCGAGACCTCAGGCCCGAGCGTAGGAACAGCTGTAGGAAGCGGTGGGTGTGGCTGGAATCCCCACTGGCCTGAGCTTAGTGTGCAGGGCGGGCCACCGGCCAGAGGGGCAGAGCAGAAGCCCCGTTAGGAGCCGGAGGCCAGCTACAGAGCCACTGAGGGCTGCCCCCAGCGTGTGGCTCGGGGACCAGGCCTGGGTGCTGTGCCACCCGCCCTCAGGATGGGTGTCCCCACAGGTCCATGACCGCCTGGATCGCTACTGCTGTGGCTTTGAACCTGCGCCCTCAGAGCCCTGTGCGGAAGAGGGGCTCCGGGAGAAATGCACAAACCCGGGCGAGCTGCGACTGGTCCACATCCTGGTATGTCCCTCGTCACCCGGACTCCGGCCTTCCTGTCTCCTTCCGAAGGTGCTGTTAGTGAGGTTCTGGGATCGTGTGGTCCAGGGGTTTCCAATCCTGTTCCTTTTGGTAGCAGAACCCTTTGAATAATGCGTAAAACTGGGCACAGGTGTTGGGGGTGGTGGTGAGCTGTGTGTGTGAGCCTATACCTGTGCCATACAACCTGCAGTCCTGCCGGGCAGCTTACCTCTGCACCTGCCCCATTCTCCCCCATGCTCCTCACCCCTCTGGCCACCAGAGCAGGACTCAGTCCCTCTGCCTTGCAGTTCCAGAGGATGGCGCTGTGGCCTGGCCCAGGTTTGAACCAGCCAGCTGTTTGTTAGCAGTGGGACCTTGTGCAAATTACAACTTCTCTGTGCCTGGTTCTCATACCAGTGGCCCTCTTCTCAGGTTGCTGGGAGGGCTCACTGAGATGATGCCTGGAAGCATCGAGCAGTGTCAGCACAGTTAGCTGACTGCTCAGCACCTGGAGACCATCTGGCAAGTAGCAGGTGGATGGTGGGACTGACAGCTCAAGGCCCCCAAGCCGCTTCACCCTGACACAGTCCCTGGGCGCCAGCTAGGCTGCACCCTCCCCCACCTCTGTCTCTGCCCATCTTCTCCCTGAGGTCCGGAGCAGCGATCCATCTCGTCTGGTCTACATCGATAACGCCGCCCACCTTCAGCACCCTGAGGACAGGCTGAACTTTCGGCTGCTGGAGGGCATAGATGGGTGAGGGTCAAAGGGGTTGGGTGGAGGCTCAGGGACTGAGGCTTGATGGCCCTGCTGGAGACCATGGGACCTTCCGTCGGGGCTCTGGAGAAGTCCACAGTCTGCCATCAGACAAAAGCTGTTAGATCTGAGCCTTGGGAGGGGTGTGGGGACCTGGGAAAGCTGAGAGGTACACAGCCAGCAGGCCCTTCCACTCCTGGATGGAGTGCCCGCCCCCAGGATCCAGAGAGCCTCCTGGCCCACAGGACATCAGCTGCCCTGCTGGGGTAGAGGCAGGCTAGCCCTTCCTTGCCCTAGATGGGTGGGGGTAGCCTGGCAGCCTGGCAGCCTGTCTCCTTGCTCAGTCCTGGCAGGCAGCTCAGCCTTCCTAGGGCTCTGGCATTTGCCAAGCAGAGCAGCGGGCATGGTCCCTGGAAGGACAGTGATGACTGGCCTGGCTCTTCTGTGGGATGGGGCCATCTGAACGCTTCATCCCTGCCTGCTGGCACAGCTCAGCGGTGGAAGAGTCCCTGGTAACAAGCATCCAGGGGCGGCCCTTGGGACCGGGGTTCCGGGTGGTGCAAGTTCTGGCCTTCCGGGCTTCACCTTGCCGGAAACTCCGAGATCACGTTTGCTTTTCCTTTCTCTTCTGACCTTCGGGCACTTTCGTCCAGGTTCCCTGAGTCCGTCGTGAAGGTTCTCCAGTCAGGGTGTCTACAGAATATGCTGCTCAAGTCGCTGCAGGTGGACCCGGTGTTCTGGGAAAGCCACGGCGGGCGACGGGGCCTGAGGCAGGTTCTCCAGACCCTGGAGCGGCGAGGACAGGTCCTTCTGGGACACATCCAGGAGCACAACCTGACAGTCTTCAGGGACGAGGACCCGTGAACCCCACACTGCCCAGGGGGGCTCTCGCCTCGCTGGTGGGGGGCTCACAGCACGACCTGATTGGACGAGCACCCGTGCTGATGGCCACACGTCCTTGGGCCCGCCCATCTTGACGACAAATGGAAAGAGCCAGAGCCAGAAGGGCAGCACGGATGCCTCGGGCCATGCCACCTGCTTGGAAGAAGTAGGGGTGTTGGGTTTTCAATCTCACTGCATTCTCTTCTGCCTGCTCAGCAATGGTTATGTACTTCCTTGCACCAATAAAGACATTCAAGAATGTTCTATGAACTGTTCCATATGCTGTCAAATGATGCATCCCACATGCATATGTAGAGCTGGACAAGTGTGTGTCTGTATGAATGTATGAGTGTGTGTAGATGTGTGTAAGTGTGTGTGTCATGTGTACATGCCTGCACACATATATGAGATAAAGGTTCTTCATGGAATTATACTCATTGCTTGGAACTGCTTGGGCTGAAAGTCAACTCAGGTCTAAGAAATGAAACACTAAGCCCTGGCTGGTTTGGCTCAGTGGATAGAGTGTCGGCCTGTGGACTGAAGGGTCTTGGGTTCGATTCCAGCCAGGGGGCGCATGCCCAGGTTGTGGGTTCCATCCCCCAGGGGCGCATGCCCAGTGTTGCCTGCTGGAGGCAGCCAATCAATGATTCTCATCATTGACGTTTCTATCTCTCTCTTCCTCTCTGAAATCAATACAAATGTATTTTTTTAAAAAAGATAGCTACTCCTGTAAAATAAATAAATAAATAAAACATTTAAAAAAATGAAACACTAAGCATTTTATCTTTATACGCATTAGATGTTCAATTCTTACTCAGTTATGTTTTTGGTTTAAGGATTATAAAAGTAATACATGCTCACCAAAACCAAATTCATAACTAATAGAAGCACATAAGATAAAACATGAAATGCCCTAGAGATGTGTATGTTTGTATTTTTATTTACACTCACACTGCATACAAATCTCTATTATAAAAACCCCTTGGCCCTAACGCTGTCATGCTGTAATGACCAGATGTGGTCAGTGCACATCATAGCGACCAGTCGTTCTACTGTCAGGTCGAAACCGGCTCTCCGACACCCCCTGAGGGGTCCGGGATTGCGAGAGGGTGCAGGCCAGCCAAGGGACCACACCGGTGCATGATTAGAGCCGGGGAGGGACACAGGAGGTTGGTCAGCCAGGGAGGGACCACGGAGGGCTCCAGGGAGTGTCTGGCTCATCTCGCTCAGTCCCGATCAGCCAGACCCCAGCAACAAGCTAACCTACCAGCTGGAGCATCTGCCCCCTGGTGGTCAGTGCACATCATAGTAAGCAGTTGAGTGGTGTTAGCATATCATTAGCATATTACATTTTGATTGGTTGAATGGCCGACCGGACGACCGGACACTTAGCATATTAGGCTTTTATTATATAGGATAGGATCATCTATGTTTGTCAGCTCACTGCTTTTACTTGACTCTGTTTTCTACATTCCGTACTAGCCACCTGGGTTGACCCAGGTCTTACTGATGATTGTATGGAATTCCAAGGCAGGGATGTGCCATGTTTTACTTAGCTGTTCCCATTAGGATGAACCCTAGGTGGCTCCAACTTTTCAGCAATCATAAACAGTGCTGTCATGAACATCTTTGCATGGTGTGCAATTGTTTCTGCCAGCTGTATTTGCGTAAGTGGATTTCTGCATCAAAGGGCATGTATGAGCATGTATTATTTTGAGGGAAACTGCCAAATTTCCTTCCAAAATGGAGGTGTCAAGTTATACTCCAACCGGGGGGGGGGGGGGGGGGGGAGACTGAATGTCTTCCCACCACCTCACCAACACTTGCTATGCTCAAATTTTGTTTTTATTCAACTGATAGGGAGACCTACTTTTATCTTTTATTTTATAATTTTAAAAAATATATGTATTTTTATTGATTTCAGAGAGGAAGGGAAAGGGAGAGAGAGAGAGAAACATCAATGAGAGAATCATTGATTGGCTGTCTCCTGCATGCCCATACTGGGGATTGAGCCCCACAATCTGGACATGTGCCCTGGCTAAGACTCACACCGTGGTTCATAGATCAATGCTCAACCATTGAGCCACACTAGCCAGGCAGGGAAACCTACTTTTCAAACTGCATTTCCTTAATCACTAATGAGGTTATCTTTCCAATTATTTAGTAGTTATTTGTATTTGATTTTTTTGTGAGCTGCCTTTTTCTCTTGAGATGTTCGTTCTTTCCTTGTTAATGTGTTAGATATTTGAATCCAGTTAGCATAATCAATCTTTTCCCCTTTAGTTATGTTGTAAATATTTTGTTCTAGCTTGTCACTTGTCTCTTGACTTTGTTTATGGTGTCTTTTGCCAAGTAGAAAATTTTAATTTCCATGGAGTCAAATCTATTTTCCTTTCGCTTGGAGTACTCTTGAGTTTCATGCCTTCTGAGAAAGGCTGTCACTGTTGTAAGATTATTGAAGTAATCTATGCTTTATTTTAGTATTTACATTCACTCTCAAACCACTAAGATCCTTGAAAGTCTCACTAAGTCCCTTGAAGCTCTCATGAAGAAGCTTGAGTAACCTTATAACTGTGGTTTTGAATTCTGTACCCAGTAGTTTGTTTGCTTCCATTTCTTTCATTTGTAACATGTGTCCTTGTCTTGGCATTTTGGCGGCTTCCCTGTGTTTGTTTCTGTGTATTAAATAGAGCAGCTATGTCTCCTGGAATTGGTAGAGTGGCCTTGTGTAGTAGGTGTCCTGCAGGGCCCAGTGGCTCAGCCTCCCTAGTCGCCTGAGCTGGGCCCTCTAGCTGCGCCCCTCTGTGGGCTGTGTGCACAGTCTTGTAGCTGATCCTTGATTGCTGTTGGCGTCTAGGAGGAGTTGACCTCCAGGCCAATTGGCTGTGAGGACCAGCTGTGAAGCAAGGTCAGCTGGTGCTAGAGCCGGGTCTCGGGCCTTTTGTTGATCGGTTTGGGGCACGTTGTCACCAGCTGCAGCTTGTTAGAGAGATTTTGGCCAAGGTTGAAGCCTGATCCAGGACAGGCCATTCCTATGGAAAAGCTGCTGCAAATATCTCCGGTGGGGCTGCAAATTGGACGGGGCGGGGTCTCAGGGAATTACCAGGGCGGAGCAAACGGCGTGGGCCACACTGATGGAAACAGATATGGCTGCTGCTCGGCCCTATGACAGGGGAGGTCCCAGCACCAGAACAACGACCCCTGTGAGCACCCCGGTCTGGGAGAAAGCCACCCCTGAGTTCCTGCCTCGATGCCAGGCGCTCCAGTCCCTGCCTGTACGTGTCTCCCCCAGCGCTGGAGCTCAGAAGACGCGGGACCGTGTAAGTTTGTGCGCGGGCCCTGGGATTCCAGCAGCCTCTTTGTCACTCAGCCACAACCCCCGATGGTTTTTATGGCCCGATGTTATAGGGACTTCTCTCCCAGCTCTGGGACCCTGGGCTGGGGGTCTGGTGTGGGGCTGGGACCCCCTGCTCCTCATGGCGGCCTCTGCAGAGACCATCTCCCTCCTGGTTACACACACAGCACACGTGGGTGTCGGACCGCCGATCCGGCCTCCAGGCCTCCGCTCCTCGCACCATCGCCATGTGCTTTTTTTCTTTACGTCTCTAGTAGGACTTCTATCCAGCCAGCTTTCAGGCCGTTCGGGTGCCGACTGTTCTGTATTTCAGTTGTAGGTTTGATGTGGTTGTGGGAGGCGGTGAGTCCGGTGTTTACCTGCGTCGTCATCTTGGTTGTCTCTCTCTGAACCATAGTCACGCTCCCAGAATAAACCCATTTGGCTGCGGTATGTTAGTCTCTCAGGAACTACAGGATTTAATTTGCTAACATTTTATTTAGAATCGTTGCAGATACAGTCACATGTGGCCTAAGGTTTCCCTTTTCTGTGCACTCCCAGGCCGTCTTATTTTTTAAATTAAGCAGATCTCACGAAATGGATTCAGACGGTTTCATCTTTTTAGTGTCCTGGAACACTTTAAGTAGGAATCATGTATTTCTCGAAGGTTGGCTAGCACTCCCCATAAAACCATCTGGGTGGGCCCTGTGCCTTTCTCTAGCTCTTTTACCACCGTCTCAAGGAGCTTCCAATGTGGGAGAGGGGCATGGGGGTGGGGGTGGGGGGGGCTCTTGAACAACTATGAACAAGATTTACGCCTTTGGAAGGGGAGTTTGGCTTCTGAAGGTTCAGGTATTTCTCTTACGATCACCAATACGTTTGTGTTCTGTTGACGTCGTGCATTTTCTCCTCTCCTTTCCTTCTCAGTTCTTCCCTAGGACGCCCTTATCCAGGCGTGTGCCCCTCCAGACTGCACAGTCCATTTAACTGCCCCCGTTCCGCCTTCTATCTGGAGCCCCCCTTCCCTGCCTCCTGCCCGGTGGACCTACATTCAGCCAGAGGTGGGAGCGAGGCTCTTGTCACCCTAGAACAGGGGTCCTCAAACTTTTTAAACAGGAGGCCAGTTCACTGTCCCTCAGACCGTTGGAGGGCTGGACTATAGTTTAAAAAAAAAACTATGAACAAATTCCTATGCACACTGCACATATCTTATTTTGAAGTAAAAAAACAAAACGGGAACAAACACAATATTTATATCTGCATGTGGCCCGCGGGCCGCAGTTTGAGGACCCCTGCCCTAGAAAGTGTTAAGGACAGAGGGATGTGAGGACATTTCATTGCCAAAGCAGAGTTAGGGCACTCATTTCTATTGGGCGGGCTTTCTGTAAGCACTTGACCAAGAGGCTTAAAGTTAGAGGGTCATCCAGGGGAAGGCAGACTGAACCCCATCCCAGAGCAGGTTTCCTTTGCATGGAACTAGGTCTGGGTGGCTGCCTGGGGAAGGAGGGGAAATCCGCCCAGCAGGTGGGTGGGCTGGCTGGTCTGTGTGAGGTGTGTGTGTGTGTGTAGAGTTCCCGTCTGAAGATACCGAGCCAGAATCTTCCTGTCAGTGAGCAAGGCCCCAGGCTTCCAGCAAGCACGTTTGTGTCCTGATGGGAGCAGGCCTGCTCAGCTCAGAAAGAGGGGCCATGGGCAGATACTCTACGGCCCCACCCTGCCTGCCCAGTGCATGCCAGCTGCCTGTGGCACTGTGGGGCAGGGCCCAGTGCTCCCAGCTTAGCCCACCCAGCAAAGACACCACCTCCGGGCATGCCCCTCAACACTGGCCTCCTCCCCTGGGGAGAGGGTGGAGAGAGGGGGCAGGGGGCCCTGCCCAAGTCCACAGAATCCAGGGTTGAGCTCAGTCCCTACCTTGGCTGCTCCTCAGCTG